GTTACAATTGGTGGCAGCGGTGGGATCGTTCCTACAACCAGAAGGACAGCTACAGGAGACACCATTCCGTGGATTTTACAATTTGAGGGCAACGCATGTCTCAGTACAGCGACCCTGACAGCAACAGAATGGAACCAGCAGTGGAGTACAGATACTCTGTACAGGAATTTGACCGTATGATGTGGTTGCGGCTGAACTTCTACGGGCCTAATCCAGCTGAGAAATCCGTGAAGTTCGTGAGGAGTCTAGTATTCAAGACTCTGCTGTACCGGGCAGAGGGTGACGGTCAGCTGCCACGGTGGGTGGACCTCCACCGGCAGCTACAGTTGCGGGACAGAGAGAGCCCAGTCTCCTCTCCCCAGCGGCAGTGTGATATGCAGGGAATTGGGAGCCCAGTCTCCATCCCCAGCAGCAGTGTGATATGCCGGGAAGTGTTGGGCATCCCAGTCTCCATTCCCCAGCGGCAGTGTGATATGCCGGGAATTGGGGCAGTGTGTAAAGTGCAGGGAGAGGAGAGCAGCGTCCTCCCTCCCCAGCGGCAGGCTGAGTTACAGGGGGCAGAGGTAGTTGTTCCTGCCCCCCAGCAGCAGAGTGATATGCCGGGAAGGCAGTGTAAAGTGCAGGGAGAGGAGAGCAGCGTCCTCCCTCCCCAGCGGCAGGCTGAGCTACAGGGGGCAGAGGTAGTTGTTCCTGCCCCCCAGCAGCAGCGTGATTTTTTGGGAATTGGGAGCCCAGTCTCCATTCCCCAGCGGCCGAGTGATGTGCCGGGAATTGGGAGCCCAGTCTCCATTCCCCAGCTGGAGATACAGCAGGGAATTGGGAGCCCAGTCTCCATTCCCCAGCGGCAGAGTGTCCTACCGGGAATAGAGAGCCCAGTCTCCTTTCCCCAGCAGCAGGACACTGTATTGGGAGCGGAGACAGTCGGTCTCCCTCCACTGAGGATGAAAGTATGTATGGGAGAGGAGCTTGTTACCACCTCTCCCCAGCAGCGGATCATTAATGGGCAGGGAATAGAGAGCTCAGTCTCCTTTCCCCAGCGGCAGAGTGTTCTATCGGGAGAGGAGCCTGTTACCCCCTCTCCCCAGCGACAGCTTAGAGTATCCAAAGGGGAGACAGTCGGTCTCCCCCTCCGGCAGCAGAGCTGTGCAGCAAAAGGGGAGACAGTCGGTCTCCAGCAGCAGAGCGGTGTAGTTAAAGGGGAGACAGTCGGTCTCCCCCTCCAACAACCAGGCTTCAACCAGGCTACCCTCCCAGTAGCGCTGGCAACAGGGCAGAGTGCCGCTGGTCTCTGCCCACGCAGCAACCCACCCAGTCAGCGTACCCGTGCCCAGCACAGCCGTGGTGAGGCACCTGGACATGGACAAGCTTCTCCTTTACCCAGGTGTAGTAACCATTTATTGTGGGTGGGCTGTGCTGTTGATTATGTTTTGTGGGTGGGCTGCTGGACTAACAAGGGCACTGACCGGCAGGAGGTCAGATACCCTGTTAGTCTGTTTGGAAAAGGGGAGAGATGTGACGAGAGCAATCTCGCCACATTGCATTGGAGAAGCCTGGTTGCTCGCCTGCTGCCTTTGGACTATGGCCCCCTGTTAAAAGACATCTTTTTTTACCTGCAGAAAAGCTTCATTCGTGCTTTTCTGCCTGGGGTTCGGTAGATTTGTTTGAATGTGTTACATCCCAGATAGGAATCCCATGCAGCCCATTCGTATGAAACTGACTGTAAAGACTTTGGCTCCATGGCGATTAAACTGTATTCGTGTGGTCTGAGCGCCATTCGCTTAATAATGTGCGCTCGGACCTGAGCTATCTGGGGATATGTTACATGTCTTTGTTTTATGTAATAAATGTGACTTTATGTATTTTAAAGTGTTTTGTGTCTTTTTGCAACCATGTGCTTAATGGAGTCTTGTGTCTGTCCTGGGAGATAATTGAATTACTCTCCAGGATAGAAGACTCTGAAACTGATTTGGGCCAGAAAGCCATGCTTCATTTAGTCACAAAGGACTTTTTACTAACTTTTGAACCCCTGGTCTGATTCAGGCCATTTTTTAATATGTTGTTCCCCTGAATGGATTGATTGTGAATGTGTAATTTTATGTGAATGTGATGTATGGTTTTAGAGTTATGAAAGTTGGGTAGAAAGTATGTTTTAACTGTATGTATAATTGAGTTTCCTCTCAGGATAAGGGGAGGGAATATGTGGGATGTAACTGTGATATGATTGGTTGTTTTATACCTCCCTGTGGGTGGTCCTGTATTTGAAACACTGTAATAAAAACCAGGCTGGGTGTGCCAGCACCTCAGACCACTGCTTGACCCTCAACACGGAGCCTTGTCTCGTTCTTGGGGGGATTCACTGTATGCTGTTAGAGACTGATTGCCAGGAGTGTAAGCTGATTGTCTGCTTTTCCTGTTCGCCTGCTAGCAGCTATTTGGGAGGTTCCAGTTCGGGAGTTGGAGTGCTATTTTGTATCCAGTTCGGGGGTTTGGTGTTCTGCAGTAGCTGTGCCTGTATCTCTGGAAAGGGGGCCGATCGCCTAAACGGTTTTTACCCCTTGTGTGCAAAACGGTCCGTTACAGGCATATAGTTAAAATTAAACAAACAGATTTTAATTTAAATTTCTTTTTTATTAAAAGTAAACAGGAATAAAGTTTAACATTGTGAAACATGTACAGTTGTTGCTTTATCCTATTCTATTCCCATAAACATATTAAAAAGGATAACTCCAGAATGAATGAACACTGATATAAATAATAAAAGTTAAAAAAAATGTATATATTTATATTACAGAAAATCTAACTAATCATGTTAAATGCTTTCATCAAGTTTCAACATGCAGTAGTAAAAAAAAATTTCATTTTTAAAATACTTACTTTAAAAAAATGTATGGTTATTGAGCTTCTCAAGGGAGGTATACTCCTATTCTGAGCCCCCTGAGAGAATTTTATTGGACAGTTTTGGTGATACATTGAGCACATGCACATTGCACAAAGTGGATTGACCTGCAGATGGGAGTAGCAACGCACACTCCCAGGCAGTCCGCAAGGAATGGGCGCTCACACATACGATAGGTGGGTGGTAAAGACATATACACAAATACATGAGATACAACACTCAATGATGAGTGGACATTAAGGTAAACATTTATTTTTTAAATAAGGGATATTTTTCATAAATATAGAGTTAAAATGATACAATTTATTTGTTAACAGTTAGAAGACCAAGTTGCTAGGTCCCTTACTCGGGGCATAAGTGCCCCTGAATAAAACAATGATGTAGTCTGTGGGAGACACTCACACTGAGGCAGGGCTGGTGCTAGACTATTTTGCACCCTAGACAAGACCAGATACTTGCACCACCCCCAAAAAACAAAAATCGCCAGCTTTGCATGTCTCTCTGTCCCCCTCAGCCTTGTGTCTCTTTGCCCCTCTGTGTGTCTTTTTATCCTCCAAGCTCCTGTATGTGTCTTTTTCTCTCTAAGCCCTTCTGTGTCTGACACCGCAGCCCTTCT